GCCACCGTAATGATTACAAAAGCTGACGTTTCGAGCGTTAGCCCTTCGTCGGAGCGAATAGAGGAATTGTGGGTTGTGTGTGCTTTTAAAGGCAGAAAATGGAGCTACGTTATTGGTGGGAGCATGGCAACGAGAAAAACATGAATAAATTAGTGGAATGAAAAGCGTTCGTTGATCCCTGTGGGATTTAGACTGCCGGTTTGAAAGATGAGCTTTTGTTCAAGATTTTTACGGCTTTCCGTGCCACCTAAGTGCAAGGAAAGACCGCAGATTGCCATATGTTGCTTAGAATGATTAGGTAAATTAAAATGTCTAGCGACTGGTTTCGATGTGTCCTTGTCATTCCTTTCCACGTCTCGAAGGTGTTCTCGGAATCGGTCACCTAGTCTTCTGCCTGTTTCGCCGATGTATATCTTTTTGCAATAAGTGCAAGTTATGCAATAGATTACATTGGCGGAGGTGCACGTGAAGTGATCGGTGATCTTAATGGATCGTTTAGGTCCCGATATTTTATCAGTGTTGTGAATGAAAGGACACGTTTTGCATCGTGCACGAGCGCATTTAAAAGTGCCTGGTTGGTCATTAGTCTGAAAAGAACTTCTGACCAAAAAATTGCCTATGTTTTTGTCGCGTTTGAATGAAATGAGCGGAGGCTGCGAAAAGATAGTGCTTGTCTCTGGATCGTTTTGAAGTAATTTAAAGTTTTTAAGAATGATGGATTTAACTGAGTGGTTGTGAGGGTGAAACGTGAGAGTGAATGGAATGCGGTCGGAATCTTCCTTATGCAACGTTTGTAGTGCTGAATGTCGATCAGTAAGTTGGGTGCGGTGGTAACCCACTTGAACGACAGGAACAGGGTAAGAAGTCCTTTAAGTTAGGGATGTATCTAATTTTGTAAAAATTTTTCGATCCAATTTACGTCAAAGGGATAACTTGGAGTGCGTGCTGTCGCAATGTACCCGCACTGCATATTGCGTTACAACTTCATCATTTTCTTTGTATTTATCGTAAAATTCATGACGTTGAATTAGTAAACGAAGATTGGTGACTTAAGGTATCGGTACCAAAATGGCGGCGGCTCGCAACAAGTTCTTGCTATAGCCTTATCTAGCCTTCTAAAAGTTATTTATTTGCCTCGAGAAAAGACTTAACAAGTAAACGAACAGACTTAGGTGAAAATACTTTTGGACAAAAAGACTCTTGGACGAAAAGACCGGACGCCCACTGTCTGTTATAACAGTGAGGTGTTATGAGCTGGATGTTACCCAAAAGCGAAGAAAAACTTATCCCCATAATTGAAGGATTTTTCGTCGTTAGGATTTTTTGATCGTTTAGTTGCATCGTAGATAATTTGATGGATCAGTTCCACCCATATCTAACGAAGGTCCTGGATTGCTCAAGTATTATGCTTTACCTTGAGCCTCTTTTTCAAAGCGAGTCCTGGTGCTCATCCATTCTTATGATAATAAGTTTTCATTCACATGTACATTAAACTCATTTCCCAAGAATGGTTAGGCATTAGGCCCCGTTTTTCAAAGAGAGGCCAGAGGTAATTTGAAATGTAATTTGTAATTTGAAATGGCCTATTTAAGTCTGCATCTCATTTTTAACTTGTGAATAAGCAAAGTGTATGAACAAGTTTTTAAGGTGACCCAAATATGCAGATGAGTCACTCACTCACCAAGATGTAAGTATGCTGTTAACCAAGTTGCAAGCCTTTTCTGTCTTTCTTCTCTTTAAGGCCACTGGCATGGCCAGAAGTAATTTCATAAAAAGACACTTAAAACAACCAATGAAGGCTAAAAATTACCACAAATGTGGCAATTAACATTTCGTTTAACTTAATTGTGATACAGTAAATGGTTTGAACCCGGGGGTAACATGTGAAGGTGTAGTCTGATCGTCCGGGTGAGTGTAGTCCTGAGAAGGACTGTTGTCGGTGGCAGTGACTGACGTTTCGACAACCTGTGCGGAAGTCATCATCAGAGTCAAGTGAGTGATTGTTGTCAGTAGAATGTTCTTATTCCAGTTCGTGTGAAATGATCGGTTGGTTTTGCCGTGATGTTATTGGCTGTAAGACTCAAGTGACGTAAGTCGTTCGTGATTGGTCTGTTTCGGTCTGTCGGTAAAGCTAGGTTGTTCTTTTTCGGTCGTTTGTGATGTTTATGTCGTGAATGAGTCCGAAACAGACCAATCACGACCGACTTACGTCACTTGAGTCTTACAGCCAATAACATCACGGCAAAACCAACCGATCATTTCACACGAACTGGAATAAGAACATTCTACTGACAACAATCACTCACTTGACTCTGATGATGACTTCCGCACAGGTTGTCGAAACGTCAGTCACTGCCACCGACAACAGTCCTTCTCAGGACTACACTCACCCGGACGATCAGACTACACCTTCACTTAATTGTGATATTTTGACGGAGATGTAATTTGGATATGCAACTTTCAGAGGTTTATTCGTAACCCTCATAGATTTTGTCTGTCTTAAGTTAGGAATTATTAATTACATACACATAGTGCATGTGGTCTGTCTTTGAATAAAGCAGGAAACATGTCAGTGAGTATTTGTTTAGCTATTTCTTTAATGATACACATGTTTCAATATCTTGTTCAAGTGACATTTTCTTTTTACTTCTGATTATTACCAGCTCAAATCAAGCAAATCTACTTCCACTGCTTGTTATTCAACAAATGATAACTTTCTCAATATGTAAATTTTCCATTGTCAACTTGTCACTTTTTCAAACCAAAAGTTCATGTATCTTATTAGATGTTTTGTTGTGTAGTATCGCTGAGTATTTTTATGAGTTGTGCTGTAAAATACAAATAACGAGTAAAAATACTCAGGGTTACTACACAACAAAATGTCTAATAAGTTATTTATTATCCAACACACCAAATTGTCATTTCAGTGAGGGCAAATTTCGTGGATATTTATTTATGGGGAGTGCATGACGGAAGTATATGAAGCAGAATGGAATTGGTGCATTGTCATGTTGCTGTTTCTATTATTTTTCTTTCATTATGCATACAAGTTGCATCTGAGCAGTCAAAGTATATCTGAGTGGTATTGTAAAAAGAGAAAATAGGTAGCCTGATATTACTAGTTGGTTTCTGCTCTGTAACTACCAAAATTGAGTCAGACATGACTGGCAGGGTCCGCTGTTTACCTGATGTTGCTTGATTTTTTGTTTACACTTTCTTGAATTTGGATGTTTACAATGTTGATGTTTCTATCTACAAATTAAAGGGGATTTGAATTTTTGAGACGAATTGAAGCATTTGATGAACAATATCCTGTGTGCCAAGTTGCCTGAAAAGGGACTGAAAAAAATGACACCAACACCATATCTTTGTCTACGAAACCTCTGTAAAGTGAAAAAAATTTAGTGCCCTTGAATGCCTAATTACTGATTGAGTTGTTTTCAACTTATGGTTAATCTGTAGCAATATGAGACAAGGCTTGCAACCACACTCAGGATGTCAGCAACTTAACCTCCCAAATTTCAAACCAGATGTAATATTAAAATATTGAAGTTCTGATGAATTTGGTGATGGGTGCCCTTACATTAATGATGCATCCTATCTTAGCCAAATTCTAACTTCATCTCTTCATTATTTTCCAAGAAAATTGCTGAGAAAGTAAAAAATCTAGCTCACTGACCGTGACTGGTGCCAATCATAAGGACAAAGGGAGTTTAAGCAAATATGGGGCTCAGTTCAAATTGATCAATCAGCTTTTGGTTGTGGTGGGCTGCTAATATTTCTCTTAATCTCCTCAAGTTCCACAAGGAATTAAATATCTTTAGCATTTCTCAATTTGATTTTTGGGCCATCTGAGTCTTCAGCTGTCACATTGTCTACGTTCAGAATGTAAACAGAGGGTTGTGTTCGGATGACTTGGTATTGATATGTTTTAATATCATTAAGCATTGTTGTTAACTGTCTGTTTTTGAAAGGATATGATTCATCTTAAGTTACTCTGGGATACATTTTTCAACACTAAATTAGATTAAATGGTGTCAACATTTGTAATAGAAAAAAGAAAAATTAAATGGACTGTGAACTCACTTTTTTCAATTTTTTTCAGCATAATCTTTCAAAATTAAAAGTTTCCTGTGATGTCAAGGCTACAAAAGGTAGTAAGTGGAAATGGTATAAAATGTASATTATTACAAATACCAACCCTTCACTTTGACAAACATTCATCCACATCATTGTTTTTTCTCTCAATTGTCTTCCATGAAACTGCATTTACCAATTTCAAAGTGAGTGGAAAAGGAATATCTTTTAAGAATACTTTTCACTTTTCTTGTAAATGTAATGGTTGTTTAGTGAGAAATACAACAGCGATAATATAGAATGAGAAAGATGGCAAGTTTTAAGCTTGGTAAAGAAATATAGAAAGATGTTTTTTGTCTAGTCATGAGAATGGGACAAAGAAAAATTCAAGACACGTGTCAAATATGAACTTGGTAATGGGCTTTGCTCACCACTGACTGAGTCTCAGTGGTAAAACATAGTATGGAATCCAAAGGTCTGAGGTCCAATTCCTCTTGGGGACTCAGAATTTTCTCTATGTCCCACAATTTAGTAAAACGATCGCAAAGACGTGGTCGATCCCTTAGAGAGTTGACATGATTAGATAGACCACATGTTAAGACCAAAATAATGTGGTCAGACTTCTTTTAAGATCTCGGCTGCTAGTGCCTTGAAGAAAGATTGCCAAGAGAGATACGTGAGCTGAAATCACTTGCACAGTTTAAGGTCAGAACTTTTACTTACTTAGTGATTAAGGATAAGGCCGATCATATTTGTAAGGTCAATGCTTAGTTCCTCATTAGAGTTTTTGTCATTATTGTAAGCCGTTGTTTTTCACGTTAATATTCTTAATAATATATTCTTATATTGCTTGTCACCGATTAATACCAGTCCATCAACCTTTGTTGACAGACTGACCATTTTTTTCTTCCAGGATAATTAAAGTTATTATTCTTATTATTATTATAATTGTGACTAGATAAAAAAACATCTTTCTATAGTGATAGCATAGATCTCTAAAGCAACTTATATTTTCCTGGGGTAAATATGTCTCAATTTACTTGTAACTGACTGTGGCCTAAGATAAAACTCAACTGCAAGGTTACCAAAGAATTTACATTAAATATTGATTGAACATCCATAATTGTGATTAATTACTGCTGTTTCACAACTTATTGTCAATAACATTCTTGTTTTGTTGTGGTAGGATTCCACCATCCTTAGTGTAGCCTCTACATCACAGGAAAGCCAGGAAAACAGGACACTGAAAGTCACTCTTCTGAGTAATGAGTGGAAATCGTCAACTGATGGAGAATTGTCAACTATCAACCGAGAGCTGGCCATCCAGTTGGCTAAACACCCCAATGTGGATGTTAGTGTCTTGCTACCAAGTTGCAGCAGAGAGGACAGGAGCAGTGCTAAGAGTCACAATGTGAAGCTCATTGAGGCACAGAGAGTTCCTGGTGTAGAACCAGTTCTTTGGTTGTCATCTCCTCCTAGAAACCATACAATGGACTGTGTCATTGGTCATGGAGTCCACCTTGGTCGACTTATTACACGTCATCCATGGAATATGAACAGTTTTCTCTTTCCAGAGTTGCTGCATCTCAAAACAAACCCATTGATCAAAGAAGTTTCACTCAGAGTGAGTACCAAGTACAACAAATGAATTGTATGTTATTTAGGATACTTTATAGAAAGTTGAAGATCGTAGTAAAAGCAAAAGTATAGTAAATTGTAGTAAACATTTTTTAGACACTTATGTTTTAAGTATTTCTGTTAAATTAAATTTTTTGATCAGTTCCATCTAGAGGCATAGGACAAATTAATTATTATTATTAGTAGCTTTGACTTTTATCCTTTCCTCTACATTAAACTTTCATTTTTCAAGAATGTTTCAATGTCAAAAAATGTACTGTACTAAAAAAAAAGAGTAAAATTGTCATGTTTGATATCTAATTCATGTCAGGCCTGAATAGATATCCACCCTCTGAACGTTGTCAGAGTCCATTTGCTGGAGCCAGTTTGTGCAGGACCTGAACATCAAAGAAGTCATCCTCAAGGTGAGATGGGAACATATTAACTAGGTATTGACAGCTACCACACATGAGAAGCTTGTTGAGAGAGGCTAGTTGAGAATGTCGCCTGAGTTCCTATCTATTGTGCCATGTGTTTTGACTGCATGAAGGGCTCTGCAGTCCTAGTTACTAGTTCGAATCCTTCCTCTCCACTTCTTTTGCCTTGCTTGCAGACATGGCAGTTATATAGTTAGTTATTTTTTTGTTCCTGTTGGAAATATTGATAGTTATTATGCAATCAGGTTAGAGAGGTTCTTGATAAAGTATTCTACATGTACACTACAGATACCAGTACTTGTATGATAAGGCAAAATACAGTTTCCTCCTTAATTTATCAGTGAATAATTAGTAGCTGAAGGTAGAGAAGGCCGGATCAGATTTCTTAGTATTGCTTGTAGCATGCCATTGTTTCTCAAAGTTGTATTTTTGCATGTGGAACATTTACATGCACCTTATTTGAAATTTTTCATGTGGTTGTCTTTATGAAAACTATAACAGTCATGTTTTTCTTTCTGAAATTTATACTGTGTTATTCTTTCTGTTCATACATGTAGTTGATCCTGTCACATCACAGTCCTCGGCAGGATTCAAAGAAAATGAATCCTTAACAAGTATAGCGGTTCAACGCAAAGGTAGACAACTTCCTCTTTCTAGATAGCTTATTGCGCTCCTTTAAACAGGAGCAGGATGACGGGGATGCAAAATAGATCGAGAAAGAATTGATTTTTGAGTCAAAGGTTTAAATGATAACGATAAGCTCACAGTGCGTATTATGAATTGGTGCATGTGATACAAGAAACTTTCACAAAAATTTTTAGACTAAATGACTCTTGAGGTGATTTTAGCACTTGTTAAGTCGGTCACAAATATACAAATGAGAAATATGTAATTATAATTATTATAGTAGTAATAGAAGTCTTTATGAAGCACTGTAAACAACAAAAGTGTTTAGTTACAATGATATGAACTTAAGCAGATATAAAACTAATTAACTAACTAGACAACTAACTGACTAACTATCAAGAAAAAAACATTTGTACTTGCCTACTTAGCCTTAAAAAAATATATCAGTGCTATTGGTAGGATGATGTTTAATTCTTGAAAACAATGATTTTGTTTGAGTTGAGTTTTTACAAAAGAAGTTAGGATGAGGAAAATTATTGATAACCTTTCTGTATTATTTCTGCAAGCAGTTGGCCAACTGTCAGTGTTGATACGAGGTATTTTTCTCAATGGGATGTATGGTTTTCTGTCAAATGGGTCTAGATAACTAGAAAAATTAAACTTCTTGGCCGTCTTTCTTATTATTACAGGACTATATGTATTACTGATGGCCTTTAATGATTTTACATATTGTAAATAGCAAGAATGTTTTTTTTTTCTATCTGTGAATAACGTCCATTTAACGAGAGATTACTTGATTTATGGATAAGTTTAATTTCTTTAAAAGAGCTGACATGTGTGTGGAAATGGGTTTGTAAATTATACAATGATGCAAGTTGTTCTTGGTATTCTAGTTATTTCATAATTCATTACTACATTGTGCGTAATCAGAAAAGTGTTGTTTGAGTGAAATAATTAATTTGTCATTGAGGGGGCATAAAGAGATTCATGAAATAAATTCCTCAGGAAACAAACAGAAATAGAAGCTACTCAAATATTAATACTTTAGGTAATAGTAATTAACTATGTTTTACAACCGTAGATTGTTAAGTGATCTTTTGTTGTTTCAAAATGCGACTTATTTCCTCAGAAACACCCTGTACATACGGCAGCACGACAAAGCCATTGAAGTTGGTCTGGGCGGGTTGTTTACANGCAGTTTCTAACAACAAATGCTCAGCTACTGTAACAGTATACCATGAAGGTAGACAACTGCATCTTTCTTCATAGTTCACATATATTTTAGGACAAAATAAAATAGTTTGTCATAGAGTGACATAAAGAGAATAATCCAGCTTCCTTAGAAAACAAGCAGAAAAAAAGTTACATGATACTGTATACCTGGGTAATGAGAACCAACTGTGATAACCATATATTTTCAAGTGCGGTTATTAAATTTTTCTTTTCCAGATGCCCTAGTAATCAAGTCCAGGCAAGCTTCAAATGAAGAGGTTAAACAGAGTTCATCCTCTATCGCCTCTCAATCTGTACAGCGCCTTAAAGGTAAACTTCATCTTAAATCGTATAACGCTTTTGGTTGGAAATCTAGCGCTTTTTCAAAACTTCGCCCCCCCCCCTCCCGCTTTTTTTGCTACTAAAGAACCGTTGTATGAAGACTGCATATAACAAGCCTTCCGTTACTTTTGAAGGAGCCATTTGCAACACTTGCCATTCTTCTCTCGGTGATTAAAGTCAATGTTTATTTGTATACATGTGCCTTTAAGAACGAAGTGCGTTCGTTTGCAGGTTCGGATTATTGTCTAGTTGTGGAACACCTTCAAGATTAATACATCAGACGTTCCAATGTAAAACCACTGCTGTGGGACAGTGACATCCAATTACCTATTGATGACGTTTACACCAGGTTGCAAATCAAATGGAGAAGGAAGGCTTACTTTCAGCTAACGGAGAAGGAGGTTCACATGTATGAAATTTTCAAGCCTGCGAAAGAGGGTGAAAAGGGCGCCAGAATGGTACTTGTCGAAGGAAACCCCGGGATTGGGAAGACTACATTTTGTCTTAAATTTGCAAGTGATTGGGCCAAAAAGGTAGTGCCAGTCGAGTTTCATTTCCCCGTGTTTCAGTTGTTGTTCTTCCTGAAATGCTGTGATATTCACAAAGATACCAAAGACATAGTACAAGCTATCGAGGAGCAACTTTTGCATGATGACATGAATAATAAGAAACGTTTTATGAATTACATCCGGGATGAAAGGAACCAAGACAAGATACTTTTAATTCTGGATGGCCTTGATGAGTTACCAGAAGCATCTGGAAAAGTTGTCGATAGGCTCTTTAAAAGAAAAGTTTTCTCACGTTGTTTCATTTTGGCCACCTCACGCGAAGAAAATGGAATCGATGTCCGGCGGCGCTATGACTTTGATACACTTTTGCAGATTAAAGGATTCACATCAAAAGATGCTAGAGTTTACATCAGAAAGCATTTCAACAGTGTTGATCCCCAAAACTTGTCAAAAGGCGAGAGGCTAATCCAAGCGGTTGAAAAAGATCTTTATCTAGCTGTTCTAAGGAACAATCCTCTGAATCTCCTTCTCTTGTGCGTTGTTTTTGAAGACTTTGAAGGGGAACTTCCATCTAATCGCACAAAGCTTTATCAGATTATTTTTCGATGCTTGTTAAGGCGTTACTGCTCCCGAAATGGCCTGGACGTTCATCGAAATGCCGACAAAACGCTAGAGAATCAATTTAAAGAGTCCATACTTGTGCTAGGGGAGTTAGCGTGGAAGTGTCTTCTAGAAGACCGCCGTTCGTTTTCGGAAGAAGAATTGGACAAGTTAGAACATTCGAGGACCCATGT